CTCACGAAGGTGGCTGTAAGAAATGGTGTAGCAGCGGAGATGAAGCTGGTGTGGTGGCGTCAAGCGTGTCTGCTGGTTTGGTGTGGGTTGAGGAGGGCTCGTCCAGGTGCAGGGGCTCCAAGGTGTTGCTGGACGTAGAGCAGGTGGTCCGCGGGGTGACGTGCGGCAACAACGGGCTGCTCGTGGAGGACGACGGCAGAATCGTGTGATAAGAATTTCGGTGAGTTATGAGGCTCGCTGGTAATCATCGCTACCGCATGGCTTGAGATCGCCGGAATCTATGGTAGCTCTCCAGCTTTTTTGCGGTTTGCTGGCAGCGAGGGAGAGAGACGGAATGAGGACGACGATTCTCCCTTCTTTTCTGCTACCAAAATGACGAAAGAGAGAGAGGGTGCATGAGTGGTGAAATAGCGAGAAATGGTGGTGAAGAGAGATGGAGAAATTTGAGAGAATTTGCTTCTCTCCGTCTTCTGTGCACGATTGAATTACCGAGGGTGAGGGAGAGAGGTTCAAAACGTTTCTTATGGGGGAAATTAAGGGGATTAAATGGGACCTTTTAATTTGCATTAAGTTTAGATAACTTAATGATAAAAGAAAAGGCCGTTAAAATTTTGACTAAAATAACTCCATCATCACACACCAGAAATAAATTAATTTTCAGAAATGAAAATATTTCTAAATAGCAAAGGTTGGGCGGTTCGATTCACGATCCGGATCTCCCACGTTTCAACGATTCGACTTGATTGCTCCCTAGGTTATATCGACAATTAAACTAATGATACAATTCGGCTCGATAAAAATAATTAAATTAAGAAAACAACTAAACAATTACGAGCACATAATAATAATAATAATAATAATAATAATAATAATAATAATAATAATAATAATAATAATAATAATAATATATTATTATTAATAATAATAATAATAATAATAATAATAATAATAATAATAATAATAATAATAATAATAATAATAATATTAATTCGAAACAAATGGGGCGCTACAATCTACCCACCTTAAAAGGAATTACAACCTCGGAATTCGAAGACAAAAGAAACTAATAAACTAACAGAATACACAAACCTCCAAAACGATAAGTTAGGGATGTAGAGACATAAAATTTGTGTCCAATCAAATTGCGCCACGTGGAAATTAATTTATTAAAAAATCAAATTATATTTTCTATTTATATTTTAGGAATTTCCATAAATTTAATTCCTAAATTTAAATAGTTAATTAATTGGCGCTCAAGATAGCCTCCGTGAACTTGTTGCCACCATGACTTATTAAGCTGGTGTTGATTTCTTTGCATTTGTTGAGGCACAAGGTAACGAGGCTTTGGAAAAGGATCATGCACAGCCACCTTAATGTCGTTCTAATTTCTCAAATCTGGGCCATCTTTTTTTTTTTCAAGATTTGGGCCATTTTAATTGTGAAAATGGTCAAGAAATTATGGATTAAGGCCCGAATGAGATATTTAATGACTTTGGGCCATGTGGGACATTTAAATGAATAAAGGTTTTGGGCCATTTGATACACATGACAAGTTTGTTAATTTGAGCTCTCTTGAACCTTATAAGCCCACATCACATCTTCCAAGCCCGATAAATGATGTCGTGACTCATTCACTCCAAGACTGTCGTCCGTGAAAAAGTCTCGAGGGGGCATTTGTAGAGACATAAAATTTGTGTCCAATCAAATTGCGCCACGTGGAAATTAATTTATGAAAAAATCAAATTATATTTTCTATTTATATTTTAGGAATTTCCATAAATTTAATTCCTAAATTTAAATAGTTAATTAATTGATATTTTAATATTTTAATTCTTGAGCAATCAAATAATGCCAAGTATCAAATCTTATTCTTGGTAAATAAATCATATCTTCTAGAAGATCTTGGAAGATTTAAGTGGATCTAGAAGATCTTGGGAGATCTAAGTAAATCTAGAAGATCTCATGAAAATCGTCGTGGACCAATCAAATTGCGTCCTACGATTCTTAATTTTGGTAGGATGCTTTCTCCTACACCTATAAATAGGGGCGCTCCCTAATGTCCAAGACACATCTCATAATTCATATTCAAGTTCAAGAGCTCTAGAGAATTCTCTCTACAAGTTTCAAGTGTTCTTGAAGATTCGAAGCATTTCTTGAAGATTCGAAGAAAGATTCAAGCACATTCAAGCTCAAAACCGGCGTTTAATCCAGAAACAAGCTGTCAAGCCTCCGAATTGCGTTCATATTCAAGTTCAAGTTCAAGATCTCTCGACGAGATTCAAGTGTTCTTGAAGATTCGAAGCCATTCTTGAAGATTCGAAGGATGATTCAAGCACATTCAAGCTCAAACCGACGTTTAATCCAGAAACAAGCTGTCAAGCCTCCGAATTGCGTTTATAATCAAGTTCAAGTTCAAGATCTCTCGACGATATTCAAGTGTTCTTGAAGATTCAAAGGCGTTCTTGAAGATTCGAAGCAAGATTCAAGCGCGTTCAACCTCAAGACTAGCGTTCAATCCGGAAACAAGCTGCGAAGCCTCTGAATAACGTTGATAAATTCAAAACCGACGTGAAGAAGATTCGAGATCAACTTTGCGACGAAGACCAAAGATTCGTGTTCTTCGCGTTCTTGGGATATTTCGACGTTTGATCTGGGAAAAAGCTTTCAAGCCCTCGAATTAACGTTAATTCAAGTCAAATCAAGTCAAGGAGAAGATCAAGCCGAAGATTTCGCTCCAAGACCTAAAATATTTTTTGTAAGAAGAATCAGAGGAATAATAGAGATTGTAACCCGCAATATTTATTTTTTATTCAAGAAATTCATTTGAATAATATTTTTCGTGTTTTTAAATTCAATTCACGAAATTTGTTGTTACAAATTTTTGGCACGCCCAGTGGGACATCTCTACCTCTCATCTCTTCTCCAAAGTTCCTCAAATCATCATGACTAGCCGCAAGATTGCCGTAGTCAAGATTACTTCAACAAGTTCCTTAAGTTCCAATCTCGGCGTGGTTACAAGAAGCATGGCCAAGCAACTGAAAGCATCTTCGGAGACAGCTCCTTTGCACGAAGTGATTAGAAGTGATAAGCTGCATCTTACCCACGAAGGTGATGAAGACGACTCTGCTTCTTCAACTCCTCGTTCATCATCAAGTTCTTCATCAAGCTCAAGTGTTGCTCCGGCTATGACAACCAATGCTTCAACTCTTGAAGAGCACATCGCAAGCTTAACGAAGGTTATTGAAGGGCTCGCGAAGAAGGTCGAAGAGCAAGACTCTCAAATCTCAAAGCTAATGGACAAGGTCGACAATGCTGAAACAAGCCACGCGAAGGGAAAACAAACTGAAGATCGTGAGGAGTCTGAAACGTCCAAGCAAGAGCAATATGAAGAAAGAGAAAAGGCTCCATTCCAACATTCGTCCACGGGAATGATCCCCATTGATCAGTTGAAGGATTTCATCATGGGGACAATTAAGGATAAACTTGATGGTGGTTCCATGTTAACCCACAGTTACGTCAAGCCATATTCACCAAGGATCGATAACTTAAGGATGCCTGTTGGATATCAACCTCCCAAGTTCCAGCAGTTTGATGGCAAAGGCAACCCAAAGCAACATATAGCCCACTTTATTGAGACATGCAACGATGCGAGAACCCATGGTGATTATCTCGTGAAGCAGTTTGTTCGTTCCCTCTAAGGGGTTGCATTTTACTGGTACACTGATTTAGAAGCAAACTCCATCGAAAGCTGGGAGAAAATGGAGCACGAATTCCTTAGTCGCTTTTACAGCACGAGACGTACAGTCAACATGATCGAGCTCACTACATCTCGACAATGGAAGGAGGAGCCAGTCATCGACTACATCAATAGGTGGAGGAACTTAAGTCTGAATTGCATGGATCGTCTGGGGTCTTCAAGGTATGAGCTGGGGTCTTCGCTACATCCTTCAAGGCATTCGGCCGAAAACATTCGAAGAGCTTGCGACTCGAGCCCACGTCATGGAGCTAAGCATGGCCTCATGCGGAGCTAATGGGCCTCCAATCCAAGAACCCCAAAGCTCCAAGGATAGATACGAGCAAAGGAAAGGGGGCAAGTTTTCTTCGAAATCTCAAAGTAAGGAGTCCATGACGATCAATGCTATGCCTGTCAAGTTTAAAGGAAAAGTCGCTGATAAAGTTGTTGAAAAGAAGGATGTCCCCAAGGGAATTGAACAAAGAAGATTGACTCTGAAAGAAATGCAAGCAAAGCAATACCCGTTCCTTGATTCAGACGTCTCTGGCATATTTGACGATCGGATGGAAGCAAAACTCATTGAGTTACCCGAGATGAAGCGTCCTGAAGAAGCCGACAGGGTGAACGACACAAAATATTGCAAATACCACCGTCTTGTAGGACATCCAATTCATGATTGCTTCGTATTCAAGGACAAGGTTATGCAGCTGACACGTCAAGGAAAAATCTCACTGGAAGAAAACAGTGTAACTGCTAATCATATAAGTGAAGCTTGCAACATGACAAATGAGCACGAAGCTCCGCTAGAAGAAAACAATCTGCCTGAGGTTGAAAATCTCCATATTGATAACGCTTCCATGATGGTCTTTACTGATGAAGACCTGCTGGTTGGTTCTAAGCCTCACAATAGGCCCTTTTCATGGTCGGATATGTGCAAGAGCAAAAGGTTAATCGATTATTGATTGATGGAGGATCAACAGTCAACATCTTGCCTCTTCGCACGCTGAAAGAGTTAGGAATAACTACCGAAGAACTTGGTATTAGTCGACTGATGATTCAAGGCTTTAACCAAGGGGGGTAAAGAGCTCTCGGCATCATAAGGTTGGAGTTGTTGATGGAAGATATGGAATCAACTGCAATGTTACACGTTATCGACGCAAAGACTTCTTACAACATGCTTCTTGGTCGTCCATGGCTTCATGAGAATGGTGTGGTTCCGTCAACATGGCATCAATGCTTCAAATATTGCAAAAGTAGCGTTGTGAAGACTGTGCTTGGTGATGATAAACCTTTTACGGAGGCTGAAACTCATTTCGCCGATGCCAAATATTATTTCAAATATACAAAACCAGTTGAGAAACTCCCGTCCAAGCAGCATAAAGGGTCTGAGAGTGAAGAGCCAAAGATTGAAAAGGTAGAAAACTCTTTGAAAGAGTTAGTGTTGCTGCTGCCGAAGATAAATAACGGGAAACCTATCTCCCAACCACCTACGAAGTTTGTTCGTCCAAGCAACGGAGCTGTGACAGAATATGGTGAAAGATTGAAGAACTCAAAGTGTTTTGATCCAAAAGCCTACAAGCTTCTCGTCAAAGCAGGATACAACCTCAATAAAAGTTGCTCTTTGGGAAAGCTCATACCTCAAGAGCAAAAGCACAATCGGGCAGGTCTTGGATATGTGGCATCGAGTCCAATTAGAATCGCCATCAAGAGAGAAAATGCCAACCATGTCTCGGAAGGAGAGTTTTCGTCTTCTGACAGTGAAAAGAAAGAGAAAAGAGTGTCGGTGTTTCAAAGACTCGGTCCGGTGCGAAAGTCAAAAGGCAAACAATCTGTGTTTCAACGACTGGGATCCTTCAAGCAGTCAAAGCCTTTAAGACAAGAAAAAGGTGTAGGCCCGTCTCCAAAGCTTAGAAGTCAAATTCCATCACGTATGAAACGTCAAACCACTTTGATCATATCATGTGGAGAGGTTTTAAAGGCAAAACTACCCGCGATCGTTCATACAAGAGCGCATGACGATGAAGATGAGGATAAAGAAAGTGTTGCTTCGTCTTACTATGCTTGCGATACTCTTACAACTCTTAGAGATGTTGAACGTTCTCTTTAACCGAAAGATAGCTTACTTGGTGAAGAAAGGCTATATCAATGGAGTTGATAAAAATGTGCAGACACGACTTGTGACAGGAAGAAATGGACGGGTGAGAGCATGTATTGACTTCAAAACTCCTGGTGACTCAAGCGAGGATATTGCTCCTGTGAACCATATCACTAAATGCGAAGATGCTCCAATAGAGGAGGAAGATGCTGAAGACGCATCTCCTGAGCTTGAAGAAGGTGTTAAGGCCACGGTCGATGAACTAAAGGAAATCAACTTGGGCGATGCTGACGATCCTCGCCCGACGTACATCAGTGCCTTACTAACTGTAGATGAAGAGAAGGCTTACATAGAGCTTCTTGGTGAGTTTAAGGATGTATTCGCATGGTCGTATAAAGAGATGCCTAGACTAGACCCAAAGGTGGCGGTGCATAACTTGTCCGTGAGTGAAGTGAATAAATTTCATCCGGGCTCCTTCAACTCGAACCGGCATCCGTACCTGCCGAACCCAACGCCGGGGGTGGCCCCGGCGTCGGGCCTCCGATGCTTAAGTCAGTGCTCAGATCAAGAGAGAGAAAGTATGTAGTAAATGAATGATGAGAGGATGAGAATGAGGTACCTTGGCCCCCCTTTTATAGGGGGAGTGTACCTTTGTGGGCTCAAGCTGGGCTTGGCCCATATTGTTGGGCTTAGACGTCTTAGTGGGCTTATCTTCCAATATATATCCGCTTTATCCATTAAACCGGGTCGAGTATAATATCTTATATCATCTAGTTCCCCCCACTCTAGTCGAGTAAGCATAACTCGATCCAAGAGTGAAATGCCTCTTCGAGTCGTTTTCTCCAACTTGCCACTAAGATCGAGCATTGAAAGTCGAATAACCATTGAATAACCACTAAAATATCCTCAAAATGAGCTTTGAGATCTCAAGATCGAAAACTGAATGATCTGATATCGGGGTCAAAAACTGAACGATTTGTCAATAAGGTCGAAAACCGAGAATCGAGAGACCGTTGAGGTTGAAAATCGATAGTCGAGACCGCTGAGGTCGAAAGCCGTGAATCGAGAGACCGTTGAGGTTGAAAATCGATAGTTGAGACCGTTGAGGTCGAAAGCCGAGAATAGGGAGACCGTTGAGGTCGAAAACCGAGAGTCGAGACCGCTGAGGTCGAAAACCGAGAATCGAGACCGCAAGAGGTCGAAAATCGAGAATCGGGACCGCTGATGTCGAAAACCGAGAATCGAGACCGCAAGAGGTCAAAAACCGAGAGGTGAGACCACTGAGGTCGAAAATCGAGAGTCGAGATCACTGAGGTCGAAAACCGAGAGTCGAGAGACCACTGAGGTCGAAAACCGAGAATCGAGACCGCTGAGGTCGAAAACCGAGAGCCAAGACCACTGAGGTCAAAACTGAGAGTCGAGACCGCTGAGGTCGAAAACCGAGAATCGAGACCGCAAGAGGTCGAAAACCGAGAGTCGAGACCGCTGAGGTCGAAAACCGAGAGTCGAGACCGTTGAGGTCGAAAATCGAGAATCGAGACCGTTGAGGTCGAAAACCGAGAATCGAGACCGCAAGAGATCGAAAACCAAGAGTCGAGACCGCTGGGGTCGAAAACCGAGAGTCGAGTGACCGTTGACCGAAGTCTTGTATTTGAAAATTTGAATTTACGTCTGTTGTGTTTCGATCACCATGTTCGAGCTCCCTTATACCACCTCGTCCTATCAGCCCTCAGTTCAAAGTTTAAAATTCAAGTCTGTTGTGTGTTCCTTTGAAAAATAAATCAACCACCAACTTGCTTGAGCCGTAATGAATATACTCGACCCGCCACTGAAGTCGAAAAATCAATTCGACGGAAGCATAATCAAACAAAGCACAATCAACCTGCTTGAGCAAAAATGAATATACCTGACCCGCCACTTGGGTCGAAAAAATAATTTCGATAAACCAGAATAAACAATCAACCTGCTCGAGCAAAAATGAATATACCTGACCCGCCACTGGGGTCGAAAAATAATTTTGATAAACCAGAATCAACAATCAACCTGCTCGAGCAAAAATGAATATACCTGACCCGCCACTTGGGTCGAAAAATCAATTCGACGGAAGCATAATCAAACAATGCACAATCAACCTGCTCGAGCAAAAATGAATGTACCTGACCCGCCACTTGGGTCGAACAAACAATTTCGATAAACCAGAATCAACAATCAACCTGCTCGAGCAAAAATGAATATACCTGACCTGCCACTTGGGTCGAAAAAACAATTTCGATAAACCAGAATCAACAATCAACCTGCTCGAGCAAAAATGAATATACCTGACCCGCCACTTGGGTCGAAAAAACAATTTCGATAAACCAGAATCAACAATCAACCTACTCGAGCAAAGATGAATATACCTGACCCGCCACTGGGGTCGAATAACAATTTTGATAAACCATAATCAACAATCAACCTGCTCGAGCAAAAATGAATATACCTGACCCGCCACTTGGGTCGAAAAAACAATTTCGATAAACTAGAATCAACAATCAACCTGCTCGAGCAAAAATGAATATACCTGACCCGCCACTTGGGTCGAAAAAAAAATTTCGATAAACCAAAGATAAAACACAATCGACCTACTACTGGGATCAAAATCACAAATACAGCAGAACCAAGTCAAATAAATCAGTTAATTAACACTAGGATCGACCACCCAGCCCGGAGGCCTTAGTCATGGTGCATTTTGTCTTCCCTCAACCTGCCACTAGGTTAGAAACAAATGTATAATGATAACAAAGCAAATATAACCAAGAAGAAATCATCGACCTGCCTTCGAGGTCTGCTTGAGCTATCCATGTCTTCACGACCCTACACTAGGATCGACCACCAAGCCCGGAGGCCTTAGTCATGGTGGATTTTGTCTTCGTACGGCCCAAATCATCCATAATAAACTCCCTCAACCGGCCACTAGGTTAGGAACAAATATACAATAATAACAGATCATACAGAACCGAATAGAAATCCTCGACCTCCCTCCGAGGTCTGCTTGAACTATCCGTGTCTTCACGACCCAGCACTAGGATCGACCACCCAGCCCGGAGGCCTTAGTCATGGTGGATTTTGTCTTCCCTCAACCTGCCACTGGGTTAGGAACAAATATTCAATAATACCAGATCAAATAGAATCGAATAGAAATCCTCGACCTGCCTCCGAGGTCTGCTCGAACTATCCGTATCTTCACGACCTGACACTAGGATTGACCACCCAGCCCGGAGGCCTTAGTCATGGTGGATTTTGTCTTCCCTCAACATGCCACTGGGTTAGGAACAAATATACAATAATACCACATCAAATAGAACCGAGTAGAAATCATCGACCTGCCTCCGAGGTCTGCTCGAGCTATCCATGTCTTTGCACTTGCCCACCCAATCCGAGGGATGTTCGAAACAGGGGGTCAACCTGCCCATCCCAAGGGGTGTACTAAGCAAATGACCACCCAGCCCGAAGGCCTTAGTCGTGGTGGAATTTGTCTTCAGGCACTTGCCGACCCCGAGGAAGCCTATCGAAACAAGCGACCACCCAGCCCGGAGGCCTTAGTCATGGTGGATTTTTTTTTCTTCAGGCACTTGTCCACCCAATCCAAGGGATGTACGAAACAGGGGGCCAACCTGCCCATCCCAAGGGGTGTACTAAACAAGCGACCACCCAGCCCGAAGGCCTTAGTCATGGTGGAGTTTGTCTTCAGGCACTTGCCGACCCCGAGAGGGCCTATCGAAACAAGCGACCACCCAGCCCGGAGGCCTTAGTCATGGTGGATTTTTTTCTTCAGGCACTTGCCCACCCCGAGGAATGTTCTAAACAGGCGACCAACCTGCCCACCCCAGGGGGTGTTCTAAACAAGCGACCACCCAGCCCGGAGGCCTTAGTCATGGTGGATTTTTTTCTTCGGCCTGCCACTGAGGTCAAACAGAACACATCGAGCACAACAAGATATGATAGCAATTGATCATCTCCGTCAGTATCATCAAATGTATAATTGTGTCGAACGAGATAAAAAATATTGAATGTATTTTTCTACCTCCCTTTCCTGGTTGCATGGTAACGTGTGCTCGAATTCTTCGACCTGCCACTGAGGTCGAAAAGGAAAACATAGAATATGACAAGATAAAATAACACCCAATCATTTTGTTAGTCGTCCAAATAATAATCTCAACCATGTCGATATGCATCACAATCTCCTCAACAATTTGTCCAGAGTACTAAGACGATGAACATTATTAAAAAATAGTGCTAGAGGACTCAATGTGTCCATTAAACCACGTGGTGATCCCACACAACCACCGAACAAGAGTTGAGGATAGTTTTGTACCTGAAGATCGAGAATACCACTCCACATTGTCATACCTTTCCCAGAGAAGCTAATTTCTGCCTTTGAGATTGCTACCGATGATCGACATCATCCATGCTTGTCCTTCATTATCACCCTTCTTGTATGGATCTATGCTCGTTCATGTCCTCCTCGACTCTCAACAGCTCATCCGCCATAGCTCGTTGAGACTTGGATTATTTCATCATTTCCTTCACCACGATAATGTTACCTAATTTTACCACGTTGAATTATCCCGAATTGGTCTTGGCACAAAATGGGGTTGTTGGATCACTTGGGCTGCATTGGAGGACTTTGGGCACAAAATATACCATGTATGCTCCACTGGGCCGCGGCTGGGAAGGAGATAAGTGTGTAACGGGCCGCACTTAGGGACTTTGGGCCGATTTTACTCACTCCTAGGCCGCATCGACGGGCTTGCAAGAGGCTGGACAAGAGCAGGCTTTCGCGGGCCGAAAGCA